TGGAAAAGCCAGTTCCACCGTAAAATAACCTCGGAATCGTTTTTTTTTTTAACTGGTTCATTAAGACTATCTATCCGATTTAGGAAACTAATCAGAATTCTAATCACTTTTAGTGAGCATGAGGGAGGCGAATGGTAATAAAAATATAAAAATAATCTTTTATCTTACAACTCTCGTAATTACGGCTTTTAGCGAGCATGAGGGAGGTGAATGGTGCTTCTCAAACGGAAGGCTGCATCCTAAAATTCAGATAATCAGTACCGACTCGTTTCCTTTCAGTTTATTTTCGTGAATTTAAACGTGTGCAGCCTTCGTAGGAAGCAGCCTTCCGTTTGAGAGGCACCCATAGTTCAACTTTGTTGAACTGAAAAAGGCTCTGAATGAGGAGTCGAATCCCCTTGATCGAATCAATTCCCAGCACTAACTTTAAAGGGGTCATATGATGCGATTTCAATGTTTCCTTTCTCTTTGGAGTGTTACAAGCTCTTGGTGCATAAAGAAGATCTGTAAAGTTGCAAAGACTAAAGTCTCAAATCCAAAGAGATATTCTTTATAAAAGTTAAGAGTCAGCCACACCTACCTAAAACGGCTCGTTCTAACACGCCCCCACATGTCTACCTCACTATGTGGGAAGATTTGCATAACGCCGCCCAAATGTTCACACAAAGAAAGAAGGCGTAACTTTTATTCTCGCTGTAGTTTTGTTGCTGCCGACTCCATGTCGTGAAGGCGCTGTGTGTTTCGTTGTGAAAGGGAAACTACTTTGTTTGGTCTTCCAAAAGAGGACGATATCCGCTTCGTCATGCCTGGAGCTGATCCGTGCTGGTCGCTGAGGAAATACATCAACTTTGCGCTGTGGATCGCCGGATCGGCTTTCACCGTGGACGAAGCAGAGTCCAGCCCGGAGTCTCCACGTGTGTTTGCCGCAAGCCCGTGTTTTAACCTTAAACCGCATAAACACATTTCATTACACCAAATACACAAAATAATGTTCTTTTTAGCAGCATCATATGACCCCTTTAAGTCTATTTTCTATATTCCATACACCATAGTAAAGGCAAAGCAACAACAACAAAAAAAAGTTCAACAAATTCTGAGATAATTATTCTGTGTAAGTATTCACACCCTTTCTGGGACACTTGTTATACTTTGAGTGGAGTTCATCTGTGGCAAATACAATCAAATGGGTATGAATAGAAAAGGCACACACTTCTCAATAAAATGTCTAACACAGTGGTCACCAACATGGTGCCCGTGGGCACCTGGTAGCCCGCATGGAGTCTCTGAGTCGCCTGCAAAGCACGTTCTATAAATAGCCTAAATTAGTGAACTGAGCAATCGACGGAGAAGGGCTTTGGTTAGACTGGTGACCAAGAAGCTAATGGCCACTCTAGTTGACCTCCATGATCATATATGGAGAACGGAGAAATGTCACTGCAACACTCCACCGATCTGGGCTTTATGGTGGTCTGGCCAGACTCAAATAATCTCAGTGAAGACACATGAAAAACCCACATGGAATTTTGATAAAAGTAAATAAAAAATCAGTTCCAAGCATCATGAATGGAGGAAAGCAGGCACTGCTCATCGTTCAACAGCAACATATGGAGAGAGGCTCAATGAAAACCTAGTCCAGAGCATTCAAAACCCCAGACAGGGCAAAAGGTTCACCTTTTGAACCTTCAACACACCGCGAGCAAGAGTGGCTTATGAAAAACTCTTGTGAATGTCTTTGAGTGGCTCAGCCAGAGCTTGCGCTTGAACCCAAGGGAACATTTCTGGAGAAACCTGGAAATGCCTGTCGTTCCCATCCAACCTGTCAGAGCTTGAGTGCTTGTGTGCGTGATACGATTCCTTATCCTATGGCTCCCTCTTGTGGGCAACGTTAACATCACAGCCTTCATTCCTCTGTTGAAATGGCTGATGGTTTAGAGCAGGGGTTATAAAACAAAAAATACAATTATAATAGATGAATAAATTTCTGATGCTCAGGAGGAGAACATCCAATTCTAAAATAAGGGGTTCTCAACTGATTAGTGTTGGAGCTAAACTCTGCAGGACCTTGAGGACCAGAGCTGACAACCCCTGTTTAGAATTTTTTAATTCTAATTCTAATTCTCCTCCTGAGCATCAGAAATTCATACAGCTATACTCATTTAAACCATATTTTATTGTGGGTTACAAAAGTTTACTATGAAGACCACCCACTGCTGTAGTGCAGCAGGGGTTCCCAACCATGTTCCCATTTTATGTTTTGGAGTCTGGACATTTTGTATCTCTCGCTTATCTGACATACACCCACTTCAGGTCTTGCAGTCTCTAATGAGCTGAAGAGTTGAATCAGGTGTGTTGATGAGGGAGACATAATGTGCAGTGCTGGTGGGAAACATCCTGGATGTTATAAACATTCCCTTTGGTAAAGAAGTTATTAAGGCAATGATCAAAAATGAAACGATGAAGAAATGGCAGGTCAGGTGGGACATACATAATAGTTGAAGAAAATATTACAGTGTACAGAAATTTGCGCTGGATATGATTAGAAGGAACAGAAGGGAAGAATCCATTTAATCCAAGTGAAGATTTGATTTGATTGTTATTTTCAAAGCAATAGCCTACTTGCTCAAATTTGGGAAATGTGAATAGCTAAGAAAAAGTTTTCTTAATTGCCCCTCTTTTTGGTCAGAAGTTACCATGTTAGTATTCCTTTGTTGTAACAAATTAAAGATACTATAATTTCTACCATCACCTTTTTTTACTGGTAATACTTTTTGTAACCTCTTATTTGCCTAAAAATATCAACTATATAAATGAAACTAAGCATGTTTGCTCAGAATAACCTGTTCTCCACATCATCCTAAAGAAAATGAAGGTGAGATCACGTGAAAAACAAGGAAGAAAGAAAAAATGTGCGTGGGATCTTGGGCTATAGTGTCCAAGTAAAACAGCATCCCTTTAATGTTCAAAACATGTTTAATTTAACTTCACTTCA